TCACCACTGAATAAGTGAGCTTTAAAGTTATTGTCTACAACTGGTGATTATTAGAACTGGATACTGACTGCACATACATGTTTTATTTAAAAACAAAAATCATGATTTAAGTGTATTTTATTTGAACACTACAACCGATCTTATAGTTATTGTCACATTATTTATCACATGTACAAATATATATTGATTTTAATAAGGAAAAGTGGTAAACCATAAGCTCTGCTGTAATTTCAGGCTCCTCTTTCCCCACATCAATGGCGGGGGGCCTTCAAACACTGGCAGTGTTCTTTTGTTTGTTTGCTCATTTGTTTGCAGTTTTTCTACAACAGGCTGTTGGAGAATATGAAAACCCTTTGGACTTGGAAATTCAAATCTCAAAATAATAGTTACTCTACTCCTGTAAAAAAATAAACAAAAATAAAACTGTAAGACATTGATGTTCGATTCTAAGATACCTTGACTCAACCACAATGATCCTCTGTTCACTTCTCTCTCTCTTTTTTTTTCTTTTCTTTCTTTTATTTATTTTTTTTTTTGGTGGTACCGGGGATCGAACTCGGGTCCTTGCGCTTGCGAGGCAGGCCACCAAACTGCTGAGCTAAATCCCTGGCCCCTCTGTTCACTTCTTTGCAGAATGACAAGAGGTAGACTGGGGGCAAATCTCACTGATAAAGGACCTTGGGCCTGGCCTTAATCTTCAACTCTTCACATGCATGAATAGCAGGTGAAACAGAGGCCTCCGTATTGAACAGCACACAAGTAAACTGCAACAGTTTTTTATTTTAAATGACAGTTGGCAAAGTACACACTGGGACAATCCTAGTTTCTGAAGTGCCTACATGCATTTATCTTACTCAATTATTTCTTTATATATATTTGCAAATGTTTTTAAAACTGCCATCTCTTTTAGATTTTTATTGATCCAATGATGTTTACTAAGCACATACTAGATGACTGGGGATGTTCTAATCACTGGGGTTACAGCCTGAGGGAAAAACACAATTCCTGCATTAAAACACTTTACACATTTGGGGAGAATGCAGGATTTAAAGTCAAGAAATATTCTCAAATATAATTCAAAACCATGAGTATTAAGGGTACAACCCCTATGTAGAAGCAGAGAGGGGAATGACTACAAAAAGTCATCAGGATACAATTCTCTTTCCTTTAATAGAAATGGAGACAATGCCAGGAAGCCTGTCAAGTAAAACCTCCAGAAAAGATCATCCCAACAGAGAGATGAGAAAAAGAAAGAAAGGTCCTAAACTGGGAAAGGCTCCGGTTATTAAAATATATATGTTACAGGGCCGGGGATGCAGCTCAGTGGTTCGGTGGCCTGCCTTGCAAGCACAAGGACCCAAGTTCAATCCCCGGTACAAAATAAAATAAAATATATATGTTACACTTTGTAAAGTCACGCTGGGTGAGAAGTGGGGTGTTCTACAGAACGTACTGGCCGGATGTCCCGGGAATGTGACAGGTCCTGTGAAGAAGGGTGCTTATGCTTTGACCTGTTTTATAAGCTTAAAAGATGCCTCTGACTGTTCGGGGCCCAACGGGATGGGTAAGACTCCACTGTCTTTTCAGGAAGGACTTGTTCTTATGCATGCAAGTTAATGACTAATGAGAAGTGGGGTGTTCTACAGAACGTACTGGCCGGATGTCCCGGGAATGTGACAGGTCCTGTGAAGAAGGGTGCTTATGCTTTGACCTGTTTTATAAGCTTAAAAGATGCCTCTGACTGTTCGGGGCCCAACGGGATGGGTAAGACTCCACTGTCTTTTCAGGAAGGACTTGTTCTTATGCATGCAAGTTAATGACTAAAGCAGGGTCCCCCATTTCTTCCACAGTTCATTCATGGCATTTTTCACCTTTGTGTTCCTCAAGGTGCAGATCAAGGGATTCACCATTGGTACAA